AAAACTACAATGTAAACTAGCAGTTTTGCACAAATCTGGCATTTGCATCTTACAGTTTTGCATACTGATGTCCATTCCCATTAATATTAGCACGTCCTTTCCTTTAAAAAAAGAAAGAAAACACTGTTACAGTGGAAAATATTACTAACATTAAAGAAAAGTAACTTAATGCTATATAAGCATTTAAATGGCCTTAAAACTTGTCACATTTTTTTCATGTCTGTACTAAAGAGTGATTAAAAACGTTGTACTCTAGTAAAGTTAAATAGCAGTAAAGGCTATCTGAAGTCATTCCCTGTGAGGTTCCTCAGCACAAGACTGCCTGTTGTTAATTTTTGAGTTTTTTTTTTTTTTGGTTTTACTGCTCGACTGTCCAGGGCCATGTTAAGATGGTTAATTAGTCAGTTCTGGCATTTGGTCCATTTTTTGCCTGTGTTTATTCTAAAAGTTACAAAAATATTTCCAGATACTTTAATGCAACTAATCTTGCCATGTAAATAGGTTTACTGTGTGTGCGTAAAAGCAGCTAATTGTTTACAGTAAGTATTTGGCTGATGTTTGATGCTGATTTATTTATTTTTAATTACTTTGTCATTAGTTATTCATTCTTTTGTTGCAGGGAAGCTAAGAACTATACAAAATATCTAAACAATTAGTTTAGATATTAATTAATCTTTTTGTTACACTAAATAGAATTGATTTGTTGATAAATGATTACAGTAATTAAGTATTTGTGGCAGCAACAAAACAAACGTCCTGTCCTAAATTTCAAAATGTCATCTGAATAACTGGAAATTGACTGCGAGTTTTTGTTTTCAGCTCTGCTCCGCCTCCGTCTCGACCACAAAACACCACAAACTGGATCCAGTTTTGAGTCGTCGACCGTCGACCGTGACCTGCATCTCACCTGCATCTGTGTCCGTAGCTTCCTGTGCATCACACCGAGTGTAACTCCCACACACTGAACCCAAAGCAGAGACGTGACACACCCACAGAGCTGTAGAATCACTTCACTCAGAGAGAGCGAAGCATTAAAGCGTTAAAGCCATCACTCTATACGAGCCATCTCAATGATATTTAAGGGCTATGCGTGACGTCCCGAGTAGCAGGTGTTCCTCTTTCATGTGTCTGCATCTCCTCCCCAGTAGGTGGCTCCTACTGCGAGCAGAGCTTCATTTTTGATCTGGAATGTTTTAGTCCCTGAAACGCCCCCTGCAGGCACTGCAGAGCACTACATCAACACACCTTTGCTTTCTGCATCCTGCTGTGCATCACATGTAAAGAGCGACACAGAGCAAAGATTAAGTGAAGGCTGCAGGAGACAAATTAAAAAAAGAAAATACGATGATTTCTGTACTGGAACATAAATCTTAATTCTGTAAATTATTCACTTTTGCAGCAGTAATCAGTTGATGAAGCATCATGATGATCAAGGTCAGGAGTTTATTTTCCTCCTAATAAGATGATAAATTTACTCTGAAGTGGAGTTTAAGTTACTCTCTCCTTTTCACATCGTGAAATGTGGAGCATTACAGCTTTGTCATCAGGGTGGATGCAGTTACATGGCTCAAAATTCTCACGTGTATGTCAGCATTCACATTTAACAACTTCAGCTCTTATTGGGTTTGATTACAAATTAAAAATAAAGTGGTGAATTTGTACATGAATCTCCAGACGTGAGGCACAAGTTTAATTGCTATTATCCAAATTTCCTGAAGAAATCTTTACAGGAATCAATAATCTTCTAAATTATTCACGTGTTTGCAGAATTGCTGAATCTGAAATAGTTGGATGAGATGCTGATGTTCCAATATGTGAGTGATGAATACATTAACAGTTTTCTTTCTGGTGTATTAAATGTAAAAATGTATGTTTACATTATGAAATCATGTTTGTTTACTTCTGGGTGCTTCTGATTAGCTAATATATTTGCAAATCAGAAAATCAGCTGCCAAATCCAGACTATCACTATTTTTACATATTTTGCTGCATGTTTAAAGAACTACATAAGCTAAGGAGGATTAAATATTTGCATGTCCTACTCAGTTTCTATCACACTGGAGGCAGAAAAATTAAAATCGCTTAAATACGATGGGGGCTATTTTTTCACCCCAAGTAATTTTCTTGACCTTGAATTAACCGACACATAATGAAGTCTGGTTAAAATGAATCGGAGCAGAAATGTAGGACTTATTATCAGACATTTCTATTTTTTTTTTTGTATTTATTTTAGAGGGGAAACACTGCTGTGAGAGAGGTCAGCCCAAAGCTTAGCTTCACTTTCTATATGAAACATGCAGTAATCATTTATATCAACTGGATTTAAAGGTTTAGAGGAAAATGTTTGGTGCACAGACACAATATTATTGGAGATGAGAAAACGGTGGAAGAAGTCTGAGTGCTCCAGATTTTCTCTTGCAGTTTTCACAGCCTGCTGGTTTCTGTTAATGAAACAACCATGAAGAGTTTTCCACACGTGCTGCAGTTTACCTGCAATGACGGCCGTGTGGTGAACTCATCATTATGGAAATGAGAATAAATCTGGCAGATTTGAAGAATCTCCAGCTACAGCACACGAGTCCCAAACAGTGGTGACTGTACGAGGTTTGATAGTCTGAGGATAATGTCTGGAAATTAGAGAAACAGTTTGATAATCTGGGAAATCTACCATTTGACTTCTTTGCTGAGAGTTATGAATTTGAAGCAGGTGGTTAGCTTAGCTTAACGACGAAAGAAATCTGAGACACCTGGCTATGACAGAGTCCACCTCTAATACCTCTAAAGGAGACTGATGAACACACTATATTGTGTTAAATATTATTGAGTTTTCTTAAATAAAGTGGCAATCCTTTTGTGGCCTATTTAAAATGAAATGCTCCTTTCATTGAAGTGATCTGTTTGCTGTAAGAGATTCGAACACATCAGTCTCAGGATTTATGGCGGGGAAAAACAAAATGATTGTGTTAAATCATCTGATGAATGTTTAATGGCAGCAAATGAAATGTTAATCTTTGTGCTAAGAAGGCTTTGGCTGATTGTGAACACGTCTGACATAAAACATGCCTCGACTGTATCGCTGTGATCAGATCACATGAGCTGTGTTTAATTGGCATTAAGATACAGGGCTGACTGATATATGTTGACGTGTGTGTTGTTTACATCGCTCGCATCGCTGGCTAAGGTTTAAAAAATGTCTCCCACTTCTCATTCATTCCACTTTGGCTGTAAAATCACTGAACTAACCCTTTTGATTTATGACCAACTTAATGAGAAAGAGGCAATAAATCCTTTAAAAGGACCCTCCGAGTCTCGTCATTATTATTGTTGAATATTTAAAGCCCCTAGGAGAAACCGCATTGAATTCATTTGAGTATAAGATTAATTATTTCTAATCCTTTGTGATGAATTTGAATAAGTACGTGGAACAATCCTGATGGTGGTGCAAGAAGACCGTGTGATGAACCACTGCAACACAAATGTGACGCCACATCTTCAGCAGCAGAAATCAGAACTGCAGACATGAAAGAAAAATAAACACTGTCTTTTGTTTCTTTTGCACTTTTTCTTTCATTCAATCTCTGTCACATTTGCTCTGATCCTCTTCCCCCTCTCTCTGTTGTTTTTCCACACATTTCCTCCCTGTTCAAGCTAGTGGAGGAGGCAGGGTACACCCTGGACAGGTCGCCAGTTTGTTGCAGGGCTAACACATATAGACAGACAACCATTCACACTCGCATTCACACCTATGGACTACTGAGAATTACCATTTAACCTAACCCCACTAACTGCATGTCTTTGGACTGTGGGAGGAATCCGGAGCACCCGGAAAGAACCCACGTACTGCATTTCCTTTCCTGTAAAGTTGCAAGTGCATGTAAAACAAAGGTTTTTCACACTTGCAGTTGTCTAATTCACCACAGCAGTAGGTGTTTAGTCCTTATTATCTGGCTGTGTAGCATAGATTCACAAGTCATAACCACCAGTGGGATGTATTTGGGTCACTGGGAGGCAGCAGCCACCAGAGATGTGTCACATGGGGGTTAGTAGGTGATATGTTGGCCTTCGACACAAAGCAGGAAGTCAGCGGTCACAGAGCGGCAGCCCGAGGAAAGTAAGTCATGCTGTTGCATCATATTTTTGACTCTTTCAAAGTTCAAGTCATGAACTTGGAGATCTGTGTGTGTCCTCTTTAGCACCTGACTACCGTAAAGACAAAGTCACCCAGAGTTCTGGCCTAAAATCATACAAGTCATCTCCTCTTTCAGAACACTGAGTTACAGGAAAAACTTCTCATTGCTGGCTCTGAAGAAATGATCAGCTCATCTTGAATTAATGTTAGAAGCAATGCTGACTTGCAGTGTGAGCTGTGTGACCTTATATATGCAGGTGTGTGTCTTTCTAAACAACCATGTGTCCAAATGATTCACACAGCTTAATGATAACTAAAGCCAAACATGATGACCCAATAGGAACTTTAAAAATAAAGATTTAAGTTGATGATTTTTTAGAAATGTGCAAAAAAACCAACAAAAAATGAGTGAAGGCAGGTGGGTAGAAGTGATTATTTCAACTGTAACGTGTACTGAATGTAAAGTTAGGACCATAAATATTTGCACAGAGACAACTTTTCTCATTTTGGTTCAGTACATTATCACAATGAATTTCAATGAAATAACTGAGACGCAGTTGAAGTGCAGACTTTCAGCTTTAATTCAG